CATTGGTAGGATAATGCTCATTTACAAATGCTGAAAGAATGGATGATAATACTTTAATGCCCATTTCCGACCCAACGCCCTTTCCCTACTTAATCCCCTACTCCTCACACGACACATTTCTACAAAGACTTAATGCCCTTTTGTATTTATATACATGATTAAAATATAATGCCAATATCAAACTGGTTCGACATTGCAACTTAAAATATGTTAGTGAACAGGAATACATAATATAACTTTATATTGATTTTAATAGAAGCACTGGCGTAGGAAACAAATGTATTTAGTGTTTAAGATTGATATCTAATCATAGGTTTATCCATGTTCCTTTAGTAACAGTAGATAAATATCGATAATATAAACGTTGCTAAAGGAACATGGGGTGTTATCAAACTTTTCATCATCTGTTTTTAAGAACATCAGACATCGTGTAATACCACAGACATCACACAGCAATCTAAGATGAAAAGTAGCTAATTGTTTTACTATAGTCTATTTTAAGTTACACCAGACATCACCTGAGTTGGGTTATATTCTAGATAATGGTCCTATGTTGTATTATTGTTTTTTTATAGATTACACCAGACATCACCCTAATCTGGGTTATATTCTAGAGGGTGAACCTCTATTGTACTATATTGTCTGTTTATGGTTTCACCAGACATCAACTTACTCTGGGTTATATTCTAAAAGGTAATCCAATGGTGTATTATTGTCTGTTTATAGAAACACCAGATATAACCTAGCTTTAGGTTATATTATTGAGGGTGGTCCACTGTTGTACTATTGTCTGTTTATTAAATCACCAGGCATCACCTAACTCTGGGTTATATTCTAGATAATGGTACTATGTTGTATCATTGTCTGTTTATAGAAACACCAGATACCAGAATAATATAATTACTGTCTCCCCAGTCTCTGAGGTCCTAATAGAGGTATAAAAGTGTCCTTTTTACTCTTACTGGACTGTTTTTCCCACATAGTAACACTACAATCTGCAGCTGATACATAAAGTCTTTGAGAATCCAAACTGAATGTGATACTGAAATGAGAGAAGATTTGGTTATGAAATCACAACGTATACTATATATTTGTGAATATAATGCACACCCCTTCTTAATTTCTAGTAAATCTCTGTTACTGTATACTGTTACTAATATGGTCATAAAAAATTCAAAAAAGAATTATTCTTTCTTGAGGAGGATCATAACCCGTTATCTAATAAGACGCACAAAAATAAGGATTAAACTAAGAATGCTAATATGTACCTGATAATTGGAGTGGCTATAGTCTTCTCGTATCGTAAATCTCTGATATTTGTCAGGTCCCAACTATTCCATAATCTACGATTTAAAAGTATCAAGATAACAGACGGATATATAAATTTCTTAAAGGTCTGTTCTATGCTTTTCACAAGTCAAGACTTGACAAATTTCATAATTGAACTCTTTCAATAAACAAAATGAAACACAAGAAAACAACTTAGGTCATGAGGACTATGTCTACCAGCTTATCCTTGACCAAACATCTTGGTATTGATCTCTTTTAGATTATTATCAGTCCCAATACTTTTACATGCTGACTGAGATTAAAATCCACAACCACTAATTATTCAACGTAACCAAGCCGATGACTTCATGTTTTTATCAAACTTTATAACCGAGTGTCCAACACTGTACCAATAAAATATCACACTGGACGTACCTGACTACACCTGAATTCAGTCCACCAGCAATAACATTAACAGATCTACCTTCAGTAGCGTAGGAATACGCTAAACAATTAATACCCTCTTCACACACTTGATGAGATATCACTCCTCCATTAATAGAATGAAGATATAGTACGCTTTCAGTACCTAGAGAAACACAAAAATAAAACATAAAGTTCAAATCTTGGTCAAATAAACTTTCATTTCATAAATATTTCATTTCAACTTCCACATCTTCACGATTGAATATCTTGCAATAGCCAACTTTCTTGTATCGTGGATGTTTGTAAATGCAAAGATTTGATTGAATTGTACACTATCGAATACAGCCAACCAGAACCCTCAACAGGAATGAATGACTAACACTAACTATATCACCTAGTGTATCACTAACAGCTATAGCTCTAATACTAGATTGTAGACCTACCTGTATGACTAACACTAACTATATCACCTAGTGTATCACTAACAGCTATAGCTTTAATATTAGATTGTAGACCTACCTGTATGACTAACACTAACTATATCACCTAGTGTATCACTAACAGCTATAGCTTTAATACTAGATTGTAGACCTACCTGTATGACTAACACTAACTATATCACCTAGTGTATCACTAACAGCTATAGCTTTAATACTAGATTGTAGACCTACCTGTATGACTAACACTAACTATATCACCTAGTGTATCACTAACAGCTATAGCTTTAATACTAGATTGTAGACCTACCTGTATTACTAACACTAACTATATCACCTAGTGTATCACTAACAGCTATAGCTTGAATACTAGATCGATGGTCTGTGATACTTCTAACATAACATAGTCTGTAATAAAGTACAAATCATAAAGAGATTGTAAACTATCATATGTATATTGGAGAAATTTATGTCAAGTTTCTGAGAATTAGATCCCTGATATCACTATATCAATTATCAAAAAGTTTACATGGGTTTGTTTGTGGTAGTCCAGATTTGGAGAGCTCACATACATAGTACATAATAAAAATTTACCTGTTAAGATCCCAGATGATACAGGAAGTATCTTCACTCCCACTGACCACAATACTAAAACTATTACAGATATATAATGATGTTACAGTCTTCGTATGTCCATATAAACTCTTACTGTTACCAATAACTTGTATTTCACTAGCCTGTAATTAACATAACATTGTAAACTTTGACCTTTAGGGACAGGTTGGAGCAAAGATCACAAGAGCATTGGAATCTTGACCTCATTTGCTTCCTTCGTCATTATTTTTCTTCTTATTATCTCACGTCAATCCAACTGGGTTTTGATAATCAAGGAAACGATAGTCGTCAAATGCCCAAAATCATATGATTGGTCAACTGAAAATGATCGAAAAATTTAGTTGCATTAACCAATCAAATTGCTATATTGCCATTATATTGAGATCTTATATAATAATAATAGAAACTAGTCCTTGTTTTTATGAACAGAAAGAAATTCATTAAGACCTATGATTCTAAAATATTTTTTTTTTACCTTAGCACTATTATGAGTGGTATCATATACATTGATGGTTCCATTTACTCCAGCTATAAACAGGAGTTGACAATCTGGTACTGAAGCACAGCAGGTTATCTAAAGAAATATCAAAGATAGAGTCACAAACCAAAATAAAGAAATATCAAAGATAACATGTAAAAGATCACTCAAATTGAAATAATGAAGACAGGCAACGCTATGAAATGTGCAACGAGGAAAATTCTGCCAGGACAGCTGCATGTTTTTTATTTCCAAATGTCGAGGGATCTTTAACATGTACAGCCTGTAGCCTCGATTTATTGTACCATCTGAACAGAGAAAATCTGACATCTAAAATCATTTTGTTATTACAAATTTTAAATCAGTATGTTTTTGGCAGCCAGATTTGATAATTTGATTAATCAAATCTAATTTTATATCTTTTAATGTATATTCAACTCCTTACTAGAAAAGGTGCGCATTGTATTCACAGTTATACAGTTAAAGACCTTACCTTATCATATGGACTCTGTATCAAGAAGTTAACTGACGGTTTGACTCGATTACTGATCCTAGTGACTCCATCTTGGTCTTTCCAGCTAAATATGGCAGCCCACATAGCATTGGAGGTATTCAATATATCTGAAATCATTTAAGGATATCAAAATTCCTAAATCACTTTCGATTACATCCAACTGTCAAAGGAGTGCACAGCTTCTAGTTTCGATTTATTGTCCCACCCAACCACTGAACACTTTTTCCACATCAGCCCCTCTGACTAACATTGCTGACAAAGGTAAACCAGGTTAAAAATGACTATTATCTATACCCAAGCTGGGATTGCAACCTGGATCATCAGGTAAGCAAGCAAGTGCTAAGTCACTGAACTAGGGTGCTCCTCTTAAA